TGTATGTGGCATTATTTAAAACACAGACAACAGTTATGTTTGGGAGACACTAAAAATTTAAGCTTTGTTATGAATCACCAAAGGAGCAGAGAATGGCTTGAAGAAGAAATGATCAAATTTCGTCATATTACATCCAAGAACTATGGCTTGAATTAATGTGGCTAATAACACAAGTAGGTTAATGTGTGTGTGTGTGTGTGTGTGTGTGTGCACGTGCGTGCACGCACACACGCACACAGATGCCAACACACGCAAGCACTAACCCACTCTTGTCTGACTCTTTGCAACCCCATGGGCTGTAACCCATCAGGCTCCTCTATCCTTGGAATTTTCCAAGCAAGAATATTGGAGTGTGGTGCCATTTCCTACTCTACAGGGTCTTCTTGACCTAGGGGTCTTCTGTGTCTCCTGCACTGACAGGTGGATTCTTTACCACTAGCACCACTTGGGAAGTTGCCAGATAGCTAATGGTTTCTGCCTAATAAAAATACTGTTAGTGATAACATACAACATATTCAGTCCTTGAATGGGAAGCTTGTGTTTTTGTTTGTTTCGTTTTCAAAGATTTTGTTTTACTGCTCACAATTTTCTTGTGTGTTTTTTCTCAAGATTTCATTAAACTACCTGCCAAAGCATAATTAAATTCACAGGAGCTATTTTCATCTTGAACTGCCATTATAAGTAAAGTATCATGTCATCTTTGAGAGATTCTTTAACTTCCCAATGGGTCCACCCATGTAAGAAAGGCACTGATTTTGCCTGGCTGAGTATTTTGCCCACTAACTCCTTCTGCAGAAACAAGGCTCTTAAGAAATCAGAGGATGGAATAATGACATGGTGAGGTCTACACTTTCCACCCTTGTCCATATAAATGGTAGAATTAAGGCCTACCAGTAGTGGGGAAGGCTTCCCTGGAGGCTCAGATGGTAAATAATCTTCCTGCAATGCAGGAGACCCAAGTTTGATCCCTGGGTCAGGAAGATCCCTTGGAGAAGGAAATGGCTACCCACTCCAGTATTCTTGCCTAGAGAATTCCGTGGACAGAGGAACCTGGTGGGCTACAGTCCATGGGGTCTCAAAAGAGTTGAACACAACTATGCGACTAAACAAACAACAAATAGTGAAGAAAAGGCACACCCAAGAAGAAAATGCAGCTGAAAACCTAGTCCCCCTGTACTAGGTTGTATGGAGTGAAATTCTATCTGGCAGATGTACAACTCACAATCTGAAAGATAGGCTGCTATTCATTTCACGACAAGGATACGTGACCCTATTATCTTATGTTTTATCCAGTACATGTTCAAATACAGGCCAGAAGACCTGAATGAAAAGTTTTACTTTAAGACTAGTTTATTCATTCAAAAAATATTTACAGAGTACTCAGGATGAGCATGGGCTTCCCTGGTGGCTTGGTAAAGAATTAGCTTGCAATTCAGGAGACCTGGGTTTGATCCCTGGGCTGGGAAGATCCCCTGGAGGAGGGCAGGGCAACCCAGTCCAGAATACTTGCCTGGAGAAGTCCATGGACAGAGGAGCCTAGCAGGCTGCAGTCAGTGGGGTCGCAAAGAGTAGGACACGACTGAAGCGACTCAGCACAGATGCACACACACATTTCCTAAGTACTTAAGGTGCTTTGATACAATAGCATTGGAGCTGTCTGGAGAGCTGTACAATCTGACCTCTAGAAGCTTCCGGTCTAGAAGTAGAAGTGAACACCATGTCAGCGTGACCTCGTGGGCTCTACTTTCCTTCTTCTGGGCGTTTCCAACGAGTCGGCTGAGCTAATAGCCTCTCTGGAAAGAGCCTGCCTCCCTGGGCAATGACTGCACGTGGCCTCCCTGCTCACCTCCTGCTCCAATATCACTCTTTAGCCTATAGGGACATCAGAGGTAACTCTTTACCTGGGGAAAACGGTAGTAGCTCATTTTCCTGCTTGTAAAATGGAGAGCTAGGAAGTAGGAGCTGCTTAGAAACCCAATAGAAAGTAGAAACATCAGTTTATTTAAAGACTTCTTTTCTTCATTTTTAAACTGAAGTATAATTGACATGTAATATCATACAAGTTACAAGTGTACAATATAGTGATTCAGAATTATACTGGATTATTATGCTCCATTTATAGGTATTATAAAATACTGGCTATATTCCTTGTGCTGTACAGTATAGCCTGGTAGCTTATTTTATACCTGATAGTTTGCACCTCTTAATCACCACCCCTATAATATCTCTCCCTCTTTCCCTCTCCCACTAGTGACTAATCTGTTCTTAATATCTGTGAGTCTTCCTTTTTTGTTACCTTCACTATAAATGAATATATATATTTCCACATGTAAGTGAAATCATACAGTATTTGTCTTTCTCTGCATGATTTATTTCACTTAGCATAATACCCTCCAAGTTTAAGGACTTATTTTCCAAAGTGAAGTAGTTATTCATGTATTCTATGTATATACATAAAATCTTATGTATATATTGAGTGCCAAAAAGATGTGAGTTGATGTTCACAAATTAAAAAGCAACAGCCGCCAACAAACAATAATCTGCAAAACCTTTATTTTTACTTTCCTTTTTAATAGTTTTATACTTCTTCTTATTGTGAGATTAGAATTTTTCACCAGGATTATTATAATTAATAATGTTAAATCCTAAGAAAATCACAAATTTATGTCAGTTAATTTTAGAATTAGAAGAGAATTTAATTCACAAAGGAAAGATGTTATTGGATTTCACTTTTGAATGTTAGCTTCAAAAAAGCATTTCTTTAAAAATCATAATTCATATACATACAAGTTTTCTTATACTGCGGAGAGAAGCATATAAACCAATCTATTCATTTTCTTCAAGGTTGAATTTTTTCCCCCCATCATTGAGATGTATAGCCATAAAATGCTTAGTGATATTTTCTAAGTTCATTTGCATAGTATTCACTGCAAGTAAATAGCAACTTTTTACTCTACAGGTTTATTCTACCTTTAGATTTGCTGAAAGGCAGTCATCATTGATTTATTGTAATGTTAGAAAATGCTAGAAAATTTTACTCTTGTAATATGAACTACAAAATTAGGAAATTATTTCTCTTAGGAAGGCATCATAAAACATAATATTTATGAAAAGTTGCACACACTATACTTAAAAGGATCTAAGTATAAGTGGTTAGTCTTTATTTCTACTGCAGATAGATCTTGCTTTTAAACAAATCTTATGAGAAGATGATGTAAGAAAATTCTGATATACTGGAAGGATAAGCTAGAGGTGGTTATGTGCTTTATAGAATTATTCATAATAGTTCATCCATAAAAAGTAATTTCCCCTGGTGCTTTTAATGTATAATTGATTTATACACAACTTTTCAGGAACGTACCTACCATTCACATTTATATCTTCATCTTGACATATTTCTCTTTTGGTTTACAAACAGGATGTAAAAATTAGTCCCCCAACAACTCTGAGGTCAGAGCATCAACTTTCCAGAGTGGATCATGTTAATAACTCATTGATGGGTTTTCCATGAACTCTGTTAAAGGGAGGCATTGAGATCTATGCATGCGGCACTGGTTAGAGGTCCAGGCAAGGTTTCACCCCATTCAGGAGCCTGGGCTGTCTTAATTCTCACCTGCTGAGCCTACTGTCAGATATACTCTATGAGACCCACTCAACTTCATTCAGTTCAGATTGAGCTTTGTCCTTTTCTCTCACTCCTGTGAAGTCTTATTCCAGGGGATAACACAGGGTCTTGGTGAACCTTGCACCTTCTAGCGCTCCCATGTGGAGAAGGCTACAGAGACTTCTTAATCCCGTTCACACACATCCATTCCAGTAGAGAGGAGGTGAAATGAGTGGACAGAAGGGCCACTCCTATGGTTTCACTCCTACTGCATGGGTACCAGATATGAACAGATGAAATTGCCTTAAAAATCTCAAGAGCCATTAATGTCTTGGAGGTGGGGATCATCTTGGTGTGTCTAAACATCTTCGTAAAGATTGCCTCATTCTTATCTCTCATAACTTGATGATTACTTAGTGGATCATAACCATTTAATTCTGAATTGTTACATTTTGTATGGATGGTTCACTTTTAAATGATAAGACTTAACCAATTAGCATTTGTAAGTAACCATTAGTACAGTGCAGCATTAATGAATTTAAAGTCAACTCTTTAAAATAAGTCAAATGCTTGAACAATTTTTCATCTGACGTTATCCAGCAAAGGAACTGGTTTGGGGTCGTGGCTCAGCTGGTAAAGAGTCTGCCTGCAATGTGAGAGACCTGGGTTTGATCCCTGGGTTGGGAAGATCCCCTGGAGAAGGGAAAGGCTACCCTCTCCAGTATTCTGGCCTGGAGGATTCCATGGACTATATAGTCCATGGGGTCGCATAAAGTCAGACACAACTGAGTGACTTTCACTTTCAGCCAAATGAGACTTCAGGGCAATGGAATGCTAATCAAATTGTTTCCTGTTCAGGCTTACAGTCTCACCAGCCTTCTGCAGTCAGACTTTCCTGAAAAGAGTGATGCTGTACTCATTAATAAGTTCAAAACAGTATATTAATCAACTAGATTAATTTAAACTGATTTAATCCTCATCTGTTCACTTACCACTATAGGATCAATGTTTATTCAGCTATTGATTCTTGTGAGAGCTCTGCTGTTAAGAACTGCAGACCCTTTATAAACTCTGTAACATCTAATTTATAAAAGAGAACCAAACTGATCATTCATTCATTCATTCATTCTTCTTCCCACATGGAAAATAAGGCCTATTTTCATCTTCAAGGCCATTTTAAAGACTGGAAAGAAGAGAAAAGAAGAAAAAAGAAGCCTCGGGAAGATGATCAGGAAGCCACCTGAAAACATAGATGTTTTACGCCTAAAAGAGACCTTGGAGACTCATGTAGCACCTGCCACCTTTCTGCCCCCCTTTACAAAGGAAGACACGTGAGTTAAGAAAGATGTAACCACGATCTGGTCCAGTTCTCATATTTCACTGATCTGCATATTTCAGTGAGTCCACTCTTATCGATTTTGGGGGGTCAGAACACGAGGAGGCTTAATCAATCAGTATGGGGAGTTATTATCAGATACCACCAGTTGTCATCAGCTCTACCTTTGTTTGATGGTAGAGATACCCTCAAGCACTTTAGCTTGTTTGTTAAATAAACAAGCAAACCAGAAACTAGAGTGAAGCATCTTCCGTACTTGGGATCATCACCATAACAGAAGGGGCTATGCCAAAGCTCTTCAACGAAAGGAAGAACAGTGAGGATTCACTTGCAGATTGTCAGTCAGAACTACGGCTTGGTCAGCCTGTTCACTAGAGCAAGGCGTGAGCATCTAAGCTTCTTCGGTGTATCTTTTGTTGCTTAGCTGTGTCTCCATTAAGGGTGTATATCCTTTTCGAAGTCTTCTATATTGAAGGAAAAGCAGCAGTGCAAAAAGGACAACCAAAACCACAAGCATCCCTGTAACCACTGAGAGCACTGTGGTCCAGTCTGCAGTTTCTGCAACTGAAATTAGAGCAGAAGAAGAGAGTCTTACAATTGGGGTTTTCATCAGCTGCATACGCTTAGAAAAGGGAAGAATAAGCCAATTTGTCTTTCACGTGTGCTTTTGTTGATAAAGCAAAACTACATTGACTGGAATAAAATTTTTCTCCTTCCTTACGAACTATTTATCATACCCATAATGTTTTTTTTGTGGAAATGGAAAATGACATTCCATTGTTTGAATATAGCTTATTGTATTTTAAAAATTCCTTATGATAAATACTTATACAGAATAAACCCTCCAAGGAAGTATATAACTACTTTTGTGAGTTAGAAACTCATTTGTAAAAGTGCATGCTAAAATGGTATCTGGGGAACTGCAAAATATACAACAGTCAGGTCTAGAAATTCTGCTGTTGTCTCTACCTTTTTTATGGAGTGATCAGTGAGTAAGACAGATGAGACTAGAGATTATAACAGGAGTCATTCAAGAGCAAGAGTAGAAGAAATTTGGACCCATTTAAATAGTTGTGAATGAAATCGGAATCATCACATGATGAATGCAATCCTCTATTCAAATATATTTTATAAGCACTTTTCCACAAAATTAATGGATTTCATTTCTAATGTATTTATGCCTATTTGTCGTTTCCTTAAAATTTATCCTTGGTCAGTTGTTCTTAAAATCAGTTTTTCTGAAGTGCAGTTTTTCTGTACTCTACACTTCTCTAAATTTAAGAATGTCCTTCTAGTCCTTTCTCTCCAGGCCCACAGAGGACCCTGACTCATTCTGATGGGGTTTCTCCAAAAGGATTTTAATTTGTCTTTTCCTGCAACAATTGCCATCCTCGTCTTCTTAAAATACAGGTTTTTATTCTGTCATTTCTTTGTTCAAGAGCCAAAAATGATTGTCTTTATTATTGTCCAAACTCTTCTACCTAGCTTTTTAAACAAATTACTTATTTTTTTTAAATGTGGGAAAACATACATGACATATATTTTATCACCTTGACCATTTTCAAGTTCTGTGACATTAAATACATTCACATCGTTGTGCAATCATCACCACTATTCATCCAAAGAACTTTTTTTCCCTGCAAAATTGAAATAATAATTCTCTAGACCTCCACCCCTTCCCACACTCTAGCAACAAGCAACCACTCTTTCCGTCTCTATGTATCTGACTACTATAGTTGCCCCATATAAGTGGAATCATATAGGTTTTATTCTTTTGTGACTGGTTTATTTAACTTAGCATGTCTTCAAGATTCACCCATGTTACGGCATGTGTCAGGACTTCCTTTTTAAGGCTGAATAATATTCCATTGTATGTATGGACCATATTTTATTTGTTGTCATTTTGCTTATCTGTCAGTGGACACTTGGGTTGCTCCCACCTTTTAAAAAATTATTTATTTTTAATTGGAGGATAACTGCTTTACAATAGTGTGTTGATTTCTGCCACACATCAATATGAATAAGCCATAGGCACACATATATCCCTTCCCTCTTACATCTCCCTCCTACTGCTTCCACCTTTTGCCTGTTGTGAATAACGCTGCTATGAATAGAGGTGTACAAATATCTGTTGGAGTACTTGCTTACAATTCTTTGGGGTCTATGCCCAGAAGCAGAATTGTTAGATCGCATGGTAATTCTGTGTTTAATTTTTTGAGGAGCTACCATATTGCTTTTCACAGAGCCTATGCTAACATTCCCACCAGCAATGCATGAGGATTCCTTTTTCTCCACATTCTCATCAACACTTGTTATCTTCTGCTTTCTTGGTAGCAGCCATCCTAATGGGTATACAGTGGGATCTTATTGTGGTTTCTGCCCGACCTTTACAGTCCCTTGTAACCAGGCCTTCTCTCAGATCCAACCTTAATTCACAGTTAATTACTCAAGCCTTTCACTACAGCCAGGCTTTCTTCTCACGATCCTCTATATGGACTACATGTGCCTTTTACAGTCCTGTTCCCTGCCTGTCTTCAACCTAAAATGCCCCTTTCTTTCCTCCAACCTACCTAAAACCTACCATCTCTTTTTTTAAAAACTTTTTTCTTTTTTTGACCACATAGCACAGCATGTGGGATCTTAGTTCCCTGACCAGGGATTGAACCTGAGACCCCTGCATTGGAAGCATGGAGTCAACCACTGGACCCCCAGGGAAGTCCCTCCATCTCTTTAATCCAGTTCAGGACCCAGCTCCTTTCCCAAATCCCTCTCTCCCTTCTTCAATCTTGAGTTATAGTTATGTCTCCTCAGAATGGATATAAATTTTTGTTAAACCAATAAAAGAATGTGATTTGTATCTTCTAATGAGTTGATGCATTCTGGGCATATTTAGACTCTCGGGTTATAGCTGTTAATTGACCAGTGTCAGAGGACATGGAAGCACGGTCAGAAGCACATGCCAAACTTTCTGATTATTATTATGTTCAATCCCAGAGAAACGAGAAAAGTTTCAAAGAGACATTCTCACCTCAGCTGCCCAAAGAAGAGAAACTTCAAATCAGTAAAGAGAACAAACTGCAGTAGATGCAGAACTGGAAGGAAAAACAGAGGACAGAGTCCAGGGTCTGAAAGGTTTTGAAAGTTGAGAGAGAAGGGGGCGGGGAGGGAATAAGACATGAAGAGAGAGAGAGAGATGTGACCTCAGAAATGGTCTTAATTACTTTGCAGGCTGAGATTTAGAGGAGACAAAATAGGCATTAATGGGAAAATGCCACCAGCACATAGACTGTGAGTTTTTCAGCTTCTTGACAAATTACGAGATTTTTTTTTTTTAGTGTTTTACTTTTCCTTCATCAACCTGTCTGCAGGTTCTTTAAATGGCACATGGAGCTATACTGGGGCCTGGGCAAATTAAAAAAAAAAAAAAGTATGCCCCTACATTTATCAAAATATCTTTCTGTATTTTGAACCAAGTGGAAAAGCTAATAAAAAATCTACAACTTAAAAACATGACTTCAGGACTTCCCTGGTGGTACAGTGATTAGGAATCCACCTGCTAATGCAGGGGACATGGGTTCGATCCCTGGTCCGGGAAGATTCCACGTGCCTGCGCAGCTACGCCCATGTGCCACGATTACTGAGCCCATACTCTGGACTCCACATGCCATATCTCCTGAGCCAGAGTACTACAACTACTGATGCCCACGCACTGAGAGCCCGTACTCCACAACAAGAGAAGCCACTGTGGTGAGAAGCCTGAACACCGCATCCAAGAGCGGCCATCGCTCACTGCAGCAAGAGAAAGCCCTCGCAAAGCAACAAAGACCCAGCACAGCCAAAAGTAAATAAGTAAAATTATTTTTTAAAAAAGAATGAAAACATGATTTCAAAAAGTTCATTTAAAACAGTACTCATGAAGTCCCACACAGCCCAATCTACTGGCAGGTCATTGTCATCTTTACAAACCCATCAGGCAGAGGTGGTGTGGGTTAACTGGGAAAAAAATAAATGGCCTACTTACAGACTAACACAGAGGTATAAACAAACAACAGCCTGGCTTTAAATTTTTAATACTGTATTCACCATGGATTTTTTTTTTTGGTATTAATTTGGGGTTTTTATAATATTGCATTATATTATTACTTAGCTCAATTACTGAATTTTTGGCTTCACTTTGAACTTTGTGCCTAAGGCAAGTGCTGCGTTTGCCTCACCTTAAACTCAGCCTTGCTTTTAAGTAAAGATCTCTAAAAGGTTCTGCTAGTCCTCATCCATCTGTGGCTAGTGCATTTTGATTTTATTGGTTAGGCATTTCAAACCATACCTGGTTTTCAATTGTCAGATCAGGTGCAGTTGTAGATACTTGCCCTGAAATAAGTTCTCTTAACAACTTTCAATTTTCTAAAATAAGAGTCATCCAACAGTCCCTTTTCTGATGTTTAATTGGTAGTTTAAAGGCTCATTTTGTAACTATACATACTCTAAAAAATTGCCAATAAACTTAACTAGATCTGAGCACTTCAATTTAAGGTCTTGATTTAGAAGAAAAAGAAAGGAAAAAAAAAAAAGAAAGCCTCTTTAGAAGATTAATGAATCACGCGTTTAGAAGTTGCATTCGTTACCTGGCAGATCAATGGCATAACTGTAGCCAAGTTGGTCTGCGGTTAAAAAGAGTTCCTCATTAGTCACTGGAGGGAAGAAAGGAACCATGTTATACATCCGATTGTGACCAATGGGTGCCAGCTCCTGAGGCCAGGCATCTGCAGGGGGATTGAATCTTTTCATCCACTCGTCAAAAATGGCATCGGTGAAGGAATGAAGGACCTGCAAGACAGTTGAATTCAGCATTAACACTGATGGATGTGTGTTCAGTCACTAAGTCGTGTCTAACTCTTTTGTGACCCCATGGACTGTAGCCTGCCAGGCTCCTCTGTCCATGGGATTTCCCAGGCAAGAACACTGGAGTGGTTTGCCATTTCCTTCTCCAGGGGATCTTCCTGATCCAGGAATAGAAGCAGCAGACATATTTTTTACCGCTGAGTCACTGGAGAAGCCCTGCCAACATTGATGGGTCTGTGCTAATCAGACCAATCTAACTGGAACTTTCTCTAAAATGAAATCAAGTTGGTTCTTCTTGACAACAGGAACTTCTTGGTGACATACCCACTGGCAAGATCCCCTGGAGAAGAGAATGGCAACCCACTCCAGTATTCCTGCCTGGAAAATTCCATGGACAGAGGAGCCTGGCAGACTATACTCCATGGGGGCAGAGTCGGACATGACTGAGGACTAACCCTTTGCTTTTCACTTTCAAGGCTGTATGGCATATCACTCCATAAACCCCTTTGTTAAGTGAACAAAGTAAGGTTCATGTTGCAGATGTAGCACTGGTTTAAGAATATTTGAGGCCTTCAACAAATTCATGTTAATTATTACATTCAGAAACAAAAGGCAAGTATGATGAGATATATAGCGCAGCCAATATTGAGATGCTTTGCTTTTAACAAGGAAGAAAGGAAATATTGTGTTTACCAATAGTATAATACAAGTGGATAATTTTTAAAAAGAAAGAAAACATCCAAAACGGGTCTTCAAATTTCTCCACCCTTCTATGTGCTCACTGTATAAGCCTCTCATTTGAATTCTCAGTGTTAGGCCAGCAAAGGAAAGTCTAAAAATGTTGTAATGTGCATAGTACTGTTTTATTTTCTCAAGAAAGCTGTTAAAGTCCTTTTCAAAGATAGCAATTATTACGTTGTTTTTAAATATCCACAGCAAAATTTCATATTTATAGTCCTGATTTTGCAACAGGACACAAACATGAGCATTCAGCCTAGGCCGTTAGAGGTCCTCTTTCATTCCTAGTAGTTCAGGGAGCCCAGGGACTCCGTCTGATTTTCCTTCCCTCTTTGTCTGCAGGGTCTGTCACTCCAGGGCTTGTCACATGGGGGAAAGGAGATACTTACTTCGGTAAATACAGATTAAATGAATTCATTTATCCATCCACCAATATAGCACTGGTGAAGTTATACTATCACTTATTTGTTTATCAATTTTCCATAATGAGACTCCTAACTCCTAAAAGTCAGAGATAAGGTCTTTTCACCTTTGGAGCTTCAGGCTTAGTCTATAACTCGGACAGAGTTGATGTTTAATAAGTCTCTGCTGGCTGACGACAGTGCCATGCAAAGTACTTTTATATTTTGTACAACTCATCCAAGGGCGTCCCTAGTGACTCAGATGGCAACAAATCCACCTGCAATGCAGGAGACCCGGGTTCAATCCCTGGGTCGGGAAGATCCCCTGGAGCAGGGCATGGCAACCCACTCCAGTATTCTTGCCATAAAGAATCATTGAAGATCTGATGCTTTCAAGCGGTGGTGCTGGAGAAGTCTCTTGAGAGACCCTTGGACAACAAGAGATCAAACCAATCAATCTTAAGGAAACCAACCCTGAATATTCACTGAAACGACTGATGCTGAAGCTGAAGCTCCAATCCTTCGGCCACCTGGTGTGAAGAGCCGACTCACTGGAAAAGACCCTGAAGCTGGAAAAGACTGAGGGCAGGAGGAGAAGAGGGTGACAGAGGGTGAGATGGTTGGATGGCATCATCGACTCAATGGACACGAGTTTGAGCAAACTCCAGGAGAGAGTGAAGCAGAGGGAAGCCTGGAGTGCTGCAGTCCATGGGGTCACAAGGAGTAGGACACGACACAGCAACTGAACAACAACAACTCATCCAAACAGGCCCCTTTCTAGTGGACGCTGTTTCCCTCTGTCTGAAATACTGCTCTTTCTCTTTTCTGGCTTCAGAGTCTTGTTTCAAGATAAACTTAAGAGTCCCTGTACTAAGGCATCTTCCCTGATCGCCCTCAGTCTGAATTCTTAGTTCTTTGCACTTCCTAACTACTTCAATTCCTAACCTCTAAAGCTCTTCTGGATTGTAGGGCTTCCCAGGTAGTTCAGATGGTAAAGAATCTGCCTGCAATGCAGGAGACCCAGGTTCAATCCTTCAGTTTGGAAGATCCCCTGGAGAAGGGCATAGGCAACCCACTCCAGTATTTTTGCCTAGAGAATGGACAGAGGAGCCTGGCAGGCTACAGTTCATGGGATCGCACAGAGTCAGACACGACTGAGCAATTAACAATTTCACTTTCTGGCTTGTACTACTGATGCTTATTTAGTAGATAACAGTTTCAGATTTTACCCGAGGTTCCTTGTAGCTAGCTCACCCATTCAGGCAACACTGAGAGCTTTCTACCTAAATTGTCTACAATGAGGATAGTGAAAAGAATTGAGTGATTTACTGAAAGAATTTCTTTCCTGAATGGATTTTTAAAGTCCATTTTTAAAGTAGGAAATGAAAATATCTCCTGCCATATTAATAAACAAGAAGTGTCACAACCTTCAGCGATTTCTGGCCTCCAAATGGGCTTGAGGGCTCTGGAAACTGCTGCCACACACCACCCCCTGTGGTGATTGCTGAGGAGCTGGGAGAATGCAGGAAGCAATATGAACAAGGAAACAAGATTGGCCCCAGATAGCTGAGGTGCATATGAAAGGGATCAATTCAATGAGCCCAGAGGCTTGCATCTCCCCATACACAGAATGCTAAATTCCTTAACTTGATATCTGATCTTGGATGTTAAGACTGCCTGTTTCCTTTGTTGCAAACTTGAGTATAGAAGGACTTCCCCTCCTGCCTCCTTGAAACAGTTTTCTCAGAGCTACTGAGATCCTGCCTCTCAGACTCAGAGTCCTAAACATTCCCACCAAATAAAATAACTCTCTACTTTTAGTTTGTGACTGTATTTTGGTCAACACAAGATACATGTTAAAAACCAAAACATCAAATTGTAAGACCTGAGCTTTCACAGAGAGAAAATATTTTTTGAGTTCTGAAATCTTGGCTTTGAGTCACAGAATTTAAGCCCTAAGGGAATAAAAGGCATCAAGCTTATCAAATGAGCAACAGCTTTGAAGGAACACATGATAATTCGAGTGATCCATGTCTCTCACAAGTAGCGTTCAGGAAAAATTCCTCTTTGAGAAGGGGCATTAACCCTGGAAAAGGAGCTGAGCATTAGCTCTTGGTGTAGGTCCCTGAAAACGATATCATGTGCTGTAAAATCCTGGGTGCTCCAGATAAGGTTAGAAGTTTCCCAGAAAGAGTTCCATGCTCCAGGTCTGGCCTCAGGAACCTGCCAGCCTCAAACAGAAGTTCTGCCTCAAGTGTGGAGCAAAAGCAATAGATGCACAATGTCTAAGAGTGGCAACACTATTGATTACTTAACCAATAGCCTTTCTCCTCTTCTTTCTCAGTAACTTCTTTGGTGTTTGTGGTGAAGCAATGTGCCAAGTTATCCATGAGATTTAGCTGGAAATCACTGGATAGGACTTCTAGAAAATTTTGTTAAAGATGGTTGTCTCAGCTTAAAAGGAGCCCCTTTTCCCTCCCCATTCCTCCTCACTGCTTCCGGGAACACGGGTGTGATGGCTGAAGCTGCGGCAGCTATCTTAGCAGCCTGCAAGCAAAGCTAGGAGAAGCATCCACTCACCAAGGATGGTTAAGCAGAAAGACTGAAGGAGTTTATGATGACTATAGAGATACTCTACCAAGGCTAAACCACCTGCCAATGGAGTTCTTTTACACAAGGAGAAAAATAAACCTCTTTATTTGTTGTTTAGAGTTCTGTAATTTTGGTTTTCTGTTTTAAGCAGTTGAACCAAGTGCTAACTGATACACAGAAAAAGGTGTGTATTAGAATGTATTTTCTAAGAAAGGCCACACAATATCTCTTGAACTTTTAGTAACCATCTGAGTTGAAGTCAGGGATCAAACTGTGATTTTTAAAAAAAGAGATAAGAGAATCTCAGGGCAGAGAAAGGGGTAGAGTCAGTACTGTAAGAGGCGAATAACTGGGTGAGAGCACCAGAATTCACCAGGTGCAGAAGTGTAAACAGTTAGGGAGGGGCGAGACTCTAAAGAAACTCATAATTTGGAGGGAAGAACAGGGGAAGAGTAACAAGGAGAAGATTATAGGTCTCAGACGAGCCGTTAAACATTATCCAATAAAAGCTCTAATAGGAACTACATACAGATGAACCAATTTATAGAATGTAGTAAAAACAAAAAAAAAGGCCAGCATAGGCCAGGGAGATGCAAAACAGGCAAGAGACAAAATGCTGTGAGCAACAATGCATCCAGAGGCCAGAAAGAGAAGCAGGGCAACAGGGAGACTAGGTATTTTTGGTAAAGTTGTGAACACTGTTCCTAAATGAAACAACCTGAATTGCTTTTGACAAACCTGTAGTATTTTTGTTGAAAAGTGTTAGTCACTCAGTCATGTCCGACTCTTGCGACCCAAAGAGCTACAGACTGCCAGGGTCCTCTGTCCATGGGATTTCCCAGCCATTCCCTTCTCTAGGGGATCTTTCCGACCCAGGGATCGAACCCAGGTCTTCTACACTGCAGGTGGATTCTTTACCATCTGAGCCACCAGGGAAGCCCCATCTTTGTTGAACACAGGTTGAAAATAAGCTACTATCTCTGTAAATGTAATTTGAGGGCATAAATAAAAGCAAAAGCAAAGTAAAAGTAAACTGCAGTTGCCTTATATCTGTTATAGAGATTTATACTTATATTTTAGCATTAATAATTGAGTGCCTCAAAAATGAGGTTACAAATTTTGGTACACAAACTTAGCCTATCGTATTCCAACAAAGTAAAGATAGGTATAGGAGGGGGAAAAAATTGCTAAATTTCAACTTGCAAGGCAGTATTGAAGGAAATGTGATTACATGGGCTTTCAAGGTAAAAATTT